ATCCCAACTTAGACTCTGGATGAAGCACATTTGAAGTGCTCAAAGGTCATGTAGGTTGGTGGTTATCATACTGGACAGCAAAGATCTAGAGGGTTTTCTGATGGTAACAATTAAGATCTCCATATATCTGTGCCTATAAGAAATCTCACAATACTTTAACTGGATCACGGTTCTGGATTATCCTTGTATGAGCTCATCACAAAGGAAGGTTGTAATCCCAGTTACTTACAGTTTCGTAAGCAGAATAACACAATGCATAGGTAAGGGAAAAATTAATTCCTTCCAGGTATAAATTACTTGTGCTGATTTTAAAATAATCTCTGCTTTAAAGGGAACCCTATTCCTACCTAGGGTCACTGTGAGTTGATTCAGTATTTACTGGGTGTGGGTTTTATTTCTCTATTTGGTGCCTACATATAGGAAAGCCATGTCCTGAACTACAGTGCTAGATGGCTAGCAGAAAATCTTAATTACTGGCTAAATACTAAAAGAGAAATAGAAAGAATGGGGAATCATTTTTTAATACTAATATACTACTCAAGTAATAATAAAATAACTGGAGTTCTGTAGAAGGAAGATGTTGTATGTGAATACCAAAGACTTGTCTTTTTAACAAGAGAAACTTTCCCTCCACCTGGTCATTTCTCTATTAAAAATTTAAAAATTCTAGAATGGGATAAGGATGAGGCAGAAGATTAATCAATTCTGGTTCCAATTAGAGAAATAAAGGGGATTAGAAAGGTCAAAAAACCCCTAAAACTTTAAATATTATTTCCTTTGGTTAGTTAAAGTTTAAGCCAATCAATCCTCCCCCTCACGTTCTAAAGGAGCCTGCATTATTATAGATGAGTGTGTGCGGTAGCTAAGGCGAATGTAATTGTATTAGCCACACCGGACTTGCTTAACTACACAAAATCCCCATTCTAATCTCCTGCTTGTGTTGCAGGGGCTCATTTATTTATTTATTTCTCAATTCAGAAAAGGAACGAGTAAATGGAGATACCAGCGAATTTAATTTCCTTTGCCACAACTGCTCACTTAAAAAAAATGTTAAATAAAACTTCCATAATCTCATGCTTCAGACCTTAATACTTATTTTGATAAATATTATAATTATCATTCTATATTGAAGGAATTATATACCCCACTATTTAAATCAGGACTCAAAGCATCTTATGGAATTCCTTTTCAGCTCTGAATTTTATTATATCTGGCCGTGAAGTGGAACTGACAAAGTGCAATTCAAAGTCTTAACCATGCAGAGTACTTTGTGAGGCGAAAAATCCACCTTCAAACTTGGGATCTGGTGGTGTCATTATTCCAGCCTTACATACTGGGGAACCACTGGGTAACAAGGCACTGTACCAGCAAGACATGAGGGGACTTAAAGGGTTCAGATTACTCTCAAAACTCCTAAAACCTCCATGTTCACTGCTAATCTCCTTGTCTATATCGTTACAAATATAGTTCTTAAACTAAAAACAGCAAAATAAAAAAAAATTACTTGGAACCCTAGTAAAGATGGTTGTATTCATGAGAAGAAAATGTCTGTGCATGAATCTCTCCAGTGCACTTGGAAATTTAGTGGAGATCAAGCTGAGCTCCTAGAGGGCAGTAGCTATGTCTCGCATGGAGGCAACATGGCAACGTTCTAATCTCTGTGCCGGTGGCTTGATGATGTTGGCAGTAAGTCACATCACATCTACTACACCCTACACCAGGCTCAGTAACAGTACTTGTCATGACCAACCTTAGTCATCACTTTGGTAAGTGCTTTGGCACGGGCCACTGTTGCTAACCACCATCCTGGTGCAGGTCCTTCACATCTGCTCGCCTATGGACGGAAAAAAGGAAGTGTCTAGTGTCCATTCATAGGCCACGTCACCTCCAACCCTATCCTTTACTCACACTTTCAAGTCAGGCCCAGGAAAAAATGATTCCACGTTTCAGGAAGGGAGTTAATCAGACAAAGCTACAGTACACTTTCAGCACATGAACGACTTGGCTAAATGCAGAAGATCCTCAAGAATGACGGTTGAGGGAACCAACCAAGTATACAAAGCTGAAGAGGATTAAGAAGTGTTCTGGCAAACACTTACTTTGACAGACAGACACGGTAGCACAGTGGACAGACAGAGCAAAGGTCTAGCGTTCTAGACAATGAAGTTCCTAGTCTCACTTTATTATGAAGCTAGAAAGACAATGTATGTGAAAGTGTTCTGTAAAGGGAATGGATGATTGCTTAGAAATGTTTTGGGCGATTCTTGGGTCTTGCATCCCCTAATGATAAATCTGGTAATATATACTAATCAAGTAATAATAAAATAACTGGAGTTCTGTAGAAGGAAGATGTTGTATGTGAATACCAAAGACTTGTCTTTTTAACATGAGAAACTTTCCCTCCACCTGGTCATTTCTCTATTAAAATCCTCAATGTCAATGCTCAGCACACAGCTACCTTCCCTATGAAAACATTCCTTATTCTTCTAGACAGAATGAACTACTCCTTTTCCTGGGTGCTTCCTGTTCCACACAAACCCCATTTTTTGTCACTATCTCCTGTCACCCTGTGTCACCCAAGTCCTCCTTCATTTGGACTTGGATATTCTGAAGCCAGAGACTATCCTGCTCACTCTGAATCTCCCCCAGCGTCCTAGCAGAGCGCTCTCCATAGAGTAGATGATTAATCATGTTCCCTGAATTATGCTGAATTTAGCCTACTTTGGCTTTAAGAGTGCTTTTTTTTCTCCCCCTTCAAAAACCTTAAAAAAAAAAAAAGCGGAGAGGAAGCTTGAGACTAATGAGGAATACAGCACAACAAACATGGAAAACGCATAAAGAATGACTTCATTCTTTGCATTCCTGCTTCAGAATGCTCACTGTCAATCTCCATACAGTATTGTTACCGATTATTATTAGTGAGAGCAAATGTTAGAAAGCACACAAAGGCAGACGATGTAAAAAACCACCACACGTCATGCGAAAGGTCTACTTGATTTAGGACTATTCTCAAGATTGCCTTTTGCTTCAACCTTAATGGCAAAACCAGTACCAAGCCAACACAAGACCTATTTGCTATGCTTCATACATGCAAAACTCAGTATCACCTTCAGACGGAGAGGGACCTTGCTCTGTGCTTCCTGGTGCACATGCATCTTCTCTGAGGCGCAGTTTAAATCGGGTGGAAGCGTGGCTAGTTCAGACTTGATGTTTTTGTTTTTATTTGTTGGTAGCTTCTAGAATATGTGGATTCCCCTGAGATTGAAAGGAGAAGGACCTAGCATCTTTCTTCTTCTTCCTCCGTTACAGGGATGCCTTGTTCAGCGATGCTGCCTCCCTCAGTGAAGCCAAGTACTTGGATTATAATGCATTTCACTGGGAATCCTTTCCTCTATCTTGCACTTTGCTAGCTTGGAGTTTACCCATCCAGAGGATAGTCAGGCTATATAGATGGGTCATTTTAATAGCATCAGTGTTAACTTACAAGAGCATGACTTGTTGGTCAGAAAAGAAAAACCAAAACAGACTTAAGCAATTTGACTAATTTATTATCCTAACAGAATGCTATGCTCCTCTCAAATCCTGGCTAACATTTCTCCGCTCCAACCTCCACCAGATGGGCTTCCTTGCTTGTTGTACTTAATACCACTGCATTTCATTTATCAGCTTCATCTGATTCTTTGGGAAGAGCCAAACATAAATCTTATCATTTATATATTCATTCAGAACTTACTATTTCTCTCTCTGTAGATTTGCACTATGATTATCTTCACTTTGACTATGAAAGTTCTCACAGGAGAAGAAACAAATCTACTCGACATAAAAGTTTGCCAACAGATCGTTTCTAAAGATTGTGAGCAATCAGTTAGCAGCTCATTTAACATTCTTGGGCAAGGCTAAAAATGGAAAAGGGCTGGCTGGAATCCACTAGTCAGCCTAGCTTTAAAGATAACTAGGCTGCTTATTTCTAACTGACTTCTAGCATACTATCGCATCAACTGGACAAAGCTCAGACACTGCCACTGAAGTTCTACAACCACCACACTTCCCATGTGAGCTTCTTATTTTGCCCTCTTCCATGGCTGGGCAACCTAACCGTTGTTGTTTCTTTTTCTATCTGTCCTTACTGGTTGGCTTTATGGCCTTCGCAGGTCAGCAGCTACCTCTCCTGAAGAAGGGAGACTAACCATTACATAGTTTTTGTGAAAAATGAGACGACCAGAGGAAATTCACTTTTAGGTGGAAGTTGCCACCCTCACACAGAAGCACTCATTCAAGATGGTTTTGAAACAATGACTTGATGTATGACTATGAAATGAGTACCCATGTTTGAAAGATTTAATACTTTCTAATAACTTCTCCAAGATAACTCGCTGATTAGTATACATCTACCTAAATTAATTTTAGCACTGGCAAGGGTCAGATGGGATGGAGATGCGAGGTGAGAAGGGAAGGGAGATGCTGTTAGAGCCCTTAATTAATATAAGGGCTTATTTTCAGAATATCCCTCATTTGAGCTATTCCTTTTACTTTTTCCTGCATGACATTTTAGAATTCTTGGTTTTTGCAGCAACCCAAAAAGGCAGAATTGCAAAGTTGCACAGCAAATATGAAGAAAAGAAATAATAAAAAGAAAAAGCATTATGATTTGGGACAAAAACCAAAACATACCAAAACAAAAATACAAGCAACAGCGAAACCACTGAGCCTAACTCAGCATCCTTTTGAAGACAGGGCGGTTAGTGGGTTAAATACTGCGGTGACCTGGCCGTTCCTGTCTCGGCTTGGAGGTTTTAAGGTGTAAGAACGCACATCCAGAAGCGGCACATGTAGGAAAACCGTGGTAGCCACGAGAGGCCTCAACTACTGCTGCCTGGGCCACCCTGTTCCAATCAACATGGATTTCCAGAGGTGCTGTTCTAATGGGAACTCTCAGTGTGAGAGACAAAGAAATAGAACATTTTCCGAAACCAAGCAAAAAATGGATGGGAATACAATACCTGGAAAGTTTATCAAGCATGTTGACAAGTTTCATGGCTTCATATTCTTTTTGTTCTTCTGTCATTTCATCTATAGGGTTTGGCATTGGTTCCTCTAAATGACCAGTGATAAGATTAATGCTACAAAAAGAAAAAAAAGTTATGCTGTATGTTTTAACATTATGCTCTTTCTAGACTTTTCTGGTCCAAGTTGTAAGTTTAATTTTAAGAAGAAAGAGTATAAATAAAAGCCAAAAAATATTTGGCAATAATTGTAATAGTAATTTTATGGTATAGAAGTACTATAGGAATTAAAAAAAAAAGATGTTTCCTACTAATTTGCTTTGGGAGGTGAGCTATAGCTATTGTTTTTTTAAAGAGTAAAAGTGACTTGCCAACTTTATTTTTTTAAAGGCATGATTGCTTTTAAAAACTATAAAAATTGATGGATGCCGTTGAGGTAAATTTCCTCGGATGCACTGCTTATCCGTGATTTATAAAAAGACAAATGACTTTAGAGCAGGAAAAATGAGTAAATCCATTTTGTGATACAGCATAAAACAAGCATGTAAAAAAAATAATGGGAAAACTGATGAGGAAGACTGCAATCTGGAAATGAAAGCATGCCAATTTATAATCTCAGGAAATTAGTCCATTAGTGAGACCACAGAGGGCAATGAGTGTTTAAATGAAAGATAAAGCAGAAAAGAACAATTTAAATTAGATTTGATCTGACCTAGATGGAAAAAAAAGGAGGGGGCAGGGATGAAATCCAGCCGACCAGGAAACAGGTATACCATTCTGGCTTTCTGGAAATAGAGTTAGTATAGGATTTAAGTATGTACAGACTTAGTATAAAGTTTTAATACCAAATATGCTAGCCACGTAGATACAAGTTGTGCTTTTTTGTGTGGAAGAGAAATACAAGATAATCATTCTGAAATTTAAAAAAAAAAGTTTAATCTGCTATCTATCTGTAACATCAACACCTTTCTGGAGAAGCAGACGAAGTTCTAGTATCTTTTACTAGTAGCCAAATACAGAGATTTATTTTTAACGATCAAATGAGGTATCTCAGAAATTGCTAGTAAACTGCTTTCTAGGGTCCACAAACACAAGTGCTTGTAGAGGCCAGGTCTTCAGGGTAAGCAAATGAGCGAGCGAGTGGGTCAAAAATAAACAATGTGGAGTGTTGGGCACTAGGATACACTGGAGGCCAGGGCCAGTCTAAATAAAAAAAAAGAGATCCCATGGGCTGAAACAATATTACGCTCATCAATTAGACACTGTGGTGACCTGCCTGCAAACGCGGCCTTGTCTTCCTTCTACTTGGGTAAGTTACTTTCTTCAACTCACCAAAGTTTTTCTCACTTGGAATGAGAAGGGTTAGAGCTACTACTCAAGTTCATTCTCCTTTCCTATGCTCCTCAGAGGCTACCTAACATATAGCATCTCATGGAAGAACTTGGTGGCCACCATATTCTAAAACACCTAACGTTATCTGCCATTTTTGCCAAAAATCTATACCTGGAACATGGTTAAAAAACATTTGTCTTCAAAGTGGTAGAACCTCCCTTTCCAAATATAAAATCTGAACAGAAATCTGACATATGAAACAGATAAAAGTAGAATTGCTCAGGTAGAAGAAGAAGGACTAGGGATGGCCAAGGAGAGCAAGGGCCCAGAGCCCTTTCCATTTGCCTCCCCATCCACTTCTTTCCTCTTTAAGATAGCCCCTAATGTAATTCCAGGAACTCTAGAGATCTGGGAAAAAGGGTTCAAAGACTCATGGGTTTGTCAGAGGTACTTAGCCTTGGCTATACATTAAAATTACTTGGGAAACTTAAAAAGAAAAAGAAGATTGGGTTTTACATCAGAACAACCAAATCTGTATCTGAAAAATTTATGTATATATACATTTCAAGTTTCCCAAGCAATTCTGACACAAAATGAGGGAAAGAACAACCCAGCTGAAGTGCCTGATTCTGACACTGGCCGTGAGCTACTATGTCCTCTCTTTTTCCCACATGCCCATCAGAGAGAAAAAAGGCCTGTATCAAGAGGCTATCAACACAAAAGGCTGAATGGGGTAATCATATTCCCCAAAGTCAAGAACAAAGAGGATTCAAATTAGACTTTTTAGGAGTATGAGTGAAGTTTTGAAGATTCCACACTACAGATAAAATGCCACCATTGAGGCATCTAACAAGAGGATATCTACTTACACTTCTGCTACCTGATAAATGTTAAAAAACACTCAGCTTTATAAACCAAAGGCCACCCTCACTGCAGACACAAGATGACACAGGGAAGGAGGCCTTAGAAGCAAGTGTAAAGAAAAGTAGTATTAGCTATCTAATCTACAGTATGCTCATTTGCCTCTTGAAAAGACAAGGGTTCTCACCTCAACTTTGATGGGGATGTGATTCAACAAATCAGATCCTGAGACTGTTTAGGATATAATGACATTGGCATAAGCCATCATGTTGCAGGCAGAGACACCGGTAAACCTTGTGGTCGTTATTGTGGCGACCACAGCAGCATACACAGCCAGGTCATGGATCCCTGGATGAGGACCCATTTGATTATTTTCTTTTTCTTGATTCTCTTAAGAGTTTCATAGAAATGATACCCATTTTCCATAAGCTGACCCAAGTCCTTTGGCTACTACAATGATTGAATTGCTCACTCTGAAATTAGGTAGTACTCATAAAATCCTTTGCTATCTGACCACAAATGCAGCAGGCAGAATGGCATCATTATAGAATAAGAACAGCACAATTCTTTATCTGTGCAGCAAAACATTCCAACCCCCAGAGTTACACCAATAGTTACCAGAACACTGATGATGTGAGGTTTCATAAAAATCGGTTATTTTAATTTGACCCACAGTGGACACCTTTACAACCCCACACAGTAAGTGGTCTGAGACTTAATTTTCTATAATTCTGGATCACTCAAACCACGCATGCACGCGCGCGCGCGCGCACACACACACACACACACACACACACACACGCCAGTTGTCATCACAATGATTCTGATTCATGGTAACCCCATGAATATCAGAGTAGAGCTATACACCATAGGTTTTCAGTGGCTGAGCTTCTGGAAGTACAATTGTTAGACTCTCTTTTGAGGTACCTCTGAGGGGACTTGAACCTTTTGATAGCCAAGTACAATTCTGGAGTTTCTTTGATTTTGTTTTGAACTCGGATTCTAAAGGTGCTTTAAGGGCACTAATTGTGAAGGGCATTTTACTGAAGAACTTTCTACGTAGTAGGATTTCTCTAACCTTTTCCTAGCTCTCCTCCCCTGGTCTCAAGATTACCTCTGTCTTCTTCCAATCAGGAGACAAAAAGTGTCTGTGCTCTTACTAGTGGTACCCCACCATGCATTTTGTATGACATAAGGCCATTTTTTATGAACTGGCCACCGGCTGGAGACTAAAGGATAAAGACAGCCTAAGAAAAGTGACGTGCAAATGAGCAGATGTTTAAGTGCTGAAATCTATTTCAAGTCTTTTGCTATTTCTTCAGCTTGTTGTTTCCTTTGGCTAACATCAGTAGCACCAGGTCATTTAACATAAGTCATATATAGTGCTTAGCTATCAGAAACAATAGCGTCTAGGGCAGAGGTCCTCAAACTTTTAAAACAGGGGGCCACTTCACTGTCCCTCAGTCCTGTTGGAGGGTCGGACTATAGTTTTTAAAAAAACTATGAACAAATTCCAGTGCATACTGCACATATCTTATTTGGAAGTCAAAAAACAAATGGGGCAAAAACACCCAGCGGGCCGGATAAATGTCCTCGGCAGGCCACATATGGCCCGCGGGCCGTAGTTTGAGGATGCCTGGTCTAGGGTCTTAAAGATAAATCTTAAATCAAGTAGCCATGTAAGTTAAGTGTCAGCTAAGGCCACCTGGAAGCAGCACACCAGCCTGTGGGATCTAAGGTTTGTAAAGAATAAAATCCAAGACAGGAGGGAGGGAACTGTATCACAAGTTAAATTCCGAGCACCAGTTTGCAGAAGGCTATGAAAAGCCCCAAATCCATTTGCAGGGTCCCAATGTGAATTAAGCCTCTGGTGAATACCCTCTGACCACTGACCATGACCATTTACTAGGGATGTAAATAACCTTCCAATCAGATAGAATGCACTGGAAGGTAAATTAATACAGATGTAGTTAGGTTACAATTTACCACTTTATAATTTGTTCCTCTTTTTGATCCACTTTAAATTTATTCTAGTTTTTTATATTTTTCTGCTTTCTTTTCAATTGAGGTTTAACTGTGTTTTATTTTGTGACTGTTATTGAGCTTTTAAAAACTTGCTTGGGAGGTATGTTTTTCTGTATATAAAATCTAAGGTAGGTAATCCATAGAGAGTAACTGGATTAATAGCTTCTTAAGAGTTATGACAGGGGAGGTTGAGGGGAAATGGGGAGCTAATAATACAAGAAAGAAGAAAACGTTCTAAAATTGAGTGTGGACCAGTTTGTGCACCAGACTGCACAACTCGTTATAATATGACTAAACCACTGATTTGTATGACATTGAATTTTATGTTAATAAAACTGTTAAAAATAAGATAAAAATGACAGCAGAAAGTCAGAAAAAAGGTACTAAAGTTTCAGGGCTATATGAAAATTAACATCAATATCTCCAAAGAACGAGGCTACAAATTTAGCCAGATCCACAGATGAGCTAGCCAGATAAAGTAAGTGACATGGTCAAGCTGCCAAACCAAAGAGCCTTGTCTACAAAGGACTATGACTACTTTCTACTCTGGGAGCTGGCTGCCACGTGATAAAGCAGGCCTAATGCTATCAGAATTTTTAATTTTTAAAAGCAAGTAGAAAATTCAGATTTTCTCCGAAATATCTAAATTCTAAATGATGGCAAGTAAATTATTTTAAGAAGCACTGTATAAAAGCAACACTAAATGAAACTTAAAATAAAATACCCAATACATGGGTCAAGCCAAGCAAAACATACTTATGGTGAAATCTAGTCTATAGGCTGACAATTTGTGCCCACAGGAAAGGAAGGGTCAGGGTTCCCAAGGAAAGGCATTTTGTGATTAGGGAAGAAGAGGATGGGAAAGCAGATGTTACATGCAAACAAGGCTGGAAATGTCT